AACAACATGGGATTCAGCGCGGAGGACAGACACCAGACTGGAAAAACTGACTCCCTGTATTGTGACATACAGTGTTTTCAGATTGAATTGGTAACCCCCTTCCGCCTAGGAGCGCATCCACACGCAGGACACCTTGCGGATGGAAGGGTAAATATTATTAGGTTGGCCAAAAAGTTCTGCAACACTTGCGAAAAAGTTGATTTTTTATGCACAAATTTATTTAAAAACAATAAGAACTACTCTTCAAAATAAAGGCCATCGTTTTCAACAATCTTTTGCCAATTCTGCAACACTTGCGAAAAAGTTTATTTTTATGCGCAAATTTATTTAAAAACAATAAGAACTACTCTTCAAAATAAAGGCCATCGTTTTCAACAATCTTTTGCCACCGATCTGCAAGCATCCGGATTTGATTGAAATACCATTCTGCCAGCTTCGAATCGAAGAACTCCGGGCACGCTTCCTCAACTTGATCAAATGACTCGAATCGTCTGTAACTTTGAGGATAAAGATGAACCCGGAACACGATAAACACAAAAAAACAAAAATTGTGCATAAAGCACACAAAAAATTAACAAAAAAGCGCATAAAAATAAACTTTTTTCGCAAATGTTGCAGAACTTTTTGGCCAACCTAGTATTAGATTGCATAATTTGCTGCTCTACTTTTGAAATTCCTCAAGGTTAAAACTGCCAAGGTCACAACACATACAAATTGAACTGACAACAAAAGATTCACACCAAACTTGAGCAGCTTGACATGCACGCATCCAAAAACACCATTAACCTGCTGGAAAAAAATAAAGGAAATGTCCGAGGAAATCATGTTAAATGCAAAGATTTGTTGAGTGTCCCATATATTTTCACGAAAATTCTCTCGTCGTTGTAAATTTGACTTTTTCTTCCCTTCCTTTCTCCTTCCTTTCTCTTTCTGCTGAGGAGACAAGGGCTTTTTCTTAGACTTTCCCCTGAACCCGACGGTTCTTCAGCGAAACCTTTTTTGCGAATGAAGTGAATGGGCTTCGATCATCCTAAATTTCGTTGGATGTGGGTCTTGCGATGCATTTGGAAGTACAGGGTGATTCAAAAAGTCCATCCCTATTTTTAAAAAAAATTAAGTTCCTCTAGAGCGGGAGAAATTCGCACAAACCAAGTGCATCATCCATCTGAGTACTCATGGGAGATTTTTTTTTTCAACAAGAGAAAATACAATATTAAATACAATATAGAATAGGTAATGTTTGGTCGGACTGCGATCAGCGGCGTAGCCGTGCGTTAAGGAAAGACGCACAAACATTCTGAAATATTATTAATGTAGATATCACATGCTACTACCAAAGAGAAAACTGCGATTGGTGATCATCCCGATGCATAGACTGATCCGCTGTATCAGTGCCGTCGAAGACATTCGAAAAAACCCTTGAAAAAATCTTGAAAATTACAAATAACAATGTGGGCACCATTAATTTTCACGCCTCTGTATATTTTATTTCCCAGTGACCTAAATGAAACGGATGAAATCATTCACGAAGGGTGGCCTGTCTAACAGAGATGTAATTTTGGAATGTTTCAGAGGGAGAGAAGCCTGATGATTCCATGGCTGGGTATCACTTTCCTGTTGCTCATCCTGTTTCCTGTTGGTGTAATCATTACGATCGTGTTCGAGTTGGTCCCAGAAAGTAAGGTTTCTGGCAATTTCATCGCCATCGTCGTCTTCATTGTGTTGTCCGTGATTACTTACTCCATTGAAATCCACTTCTTCCTTGTCGTCTACTCCTACTTCAAGGTGAGGGTATTGCTTTTTCGTGTAAATAGTGAATGAAGGCTAAGGATGCTCTCAAGAATTGTAACTCTTCACTGCCCCCCAAATTTTCATTTAATGTCTTCTTGGGCGTTTGGGGAAGTTCCCAAAAGAAGGGGAAAATATTCTTACGGTTACAATGGCCAGTGGGGATTTCTTTGTTTTGTTCCCGGGAGAGAATATGCCAAGTATTCTGTTTTGGCAGAATGACTCTTGCTGCTCGGGTAGTTAGTATCAGTCATCGACTACGTCTAGATGAATCAGAAAACTTTCATTTTCCACATCTACCATATCTCATTCTCTGCCTCCGATCTTTGAAGAGTCATATGGGAATTCTCAAAAGTTGTACATTAAAAATGGACAAATTTCCATGTGTCTGGGGAATAGATAGGTTTATATTGAGCTTTAAAAGTGTTTAACAACGGATGACAGTCATAGTGAAATGACATGATATTTGAAAAATCACTTTGTGCCACACCATACTTTTACCTATTGCCTGTTCTCAACATAAATTGTACGGAATGAAAAACAAACCATTCTCAGAGATAACTCTTCCTTTCTGAAGCTTGATTCTTAGTACTTACACGCTGCATTCGATATTCGTATCATATGGAGAATGCTTAGGATTTCCGACCTGGGAAATTTAAAATGAATTCTTAGTCATATGCTTAGAGTCCGAATATGGCCAATACCGTCGTGAACATTATTTCAGAACGTGTAGCTATCAAATCGAACTCAGGAGTGCTTAAGTGATTGCAATGACGGACCGTGATAATAACGACCGATTGCATTTCAGGAACTGGGGAGAGCAGCCTCGCCCGAAGGAGCCTTGCATCTCCACGAGGGCGAGAAGCCGATTCAACTGGAGGAACCGCGCCTCCATCCCCGGTTCAGCCGATATTGAGCGGTGTTATCCAGATATTTCCCGTCTCCTTTTTATATCCGTTTGTTGAATGTTATCTCGGATTTGATGTTCTTGGAAGCAGAATAGAGTTTTCTTTACCTCATGGAGACAGGTTCATCACTTAAAGATATTCAGTACGGCTCAGCCAGCATATCCTTGCAGTATTCCCTTGAGTGCGCCCTGCAGGAGCAATGACTTATTAATGTTATGCTAGTTCTAAAAGGTCGATGAATATGAGGATGCATGTATCAGCCTCATGCATCGGGCTGATGCATGTATCAAGTTGATACATGCCAGACAACGATAGCACTATAGCAGAGTGGCTTGAGGGGAAGAGGAAAGGAAACTGGCTCTTAGGCAAAATTCTGAAAATTTTACTTTGATTGCCTCATCTTATAATCTTGAAAATTAGATCGATTTCCTACGCCCCTTTAGGAGATTACAAGCCACATTTCAGTTTCAAAAAATCCTTCTAAGGATCCGATTTGGTGATCTGCATGATTCCCCCATCGCTGTTAAAGTTAAGTGTTTGGCAAGTTTTCGCCGCGATTATTCATCCCACAGCCTTGAAACTCGAGTCAATTTCATCGTATACTAATAGGAGCTTGCGTACTCAATAACATTTAGTTCGCTCGACTCCTTCTTGGTCAAGCTTTTTTTAAAAATTAGTATCATGAAAACCAGTTTTTAAAGGCTTTCCCCTTTCTTCAACCGCCCCTCCCCTCTTCCCTACGGGACTCACTAAGGTTGTGTCTCGTCCTAATCTACGGACTGACTTTGAATTGGGCCTCCTAGGCCTACCTTTTTTTTAAAAACCAATCTCAACCCACCCCTTACCAGGCCAATTAGGTCTAAAAGGGTCAATCTCAGCGTTTTCGAGTCATCTCCCTGAGGACGTGAAACTTTTTAAACCGTTTAAAAATTAGCCACCTCTCAAAAAAAATTGATAGGTGGCTAATTTTTTGCATCGGCCGATTAAGTCATGACCACCATGCAATGCGTTTTGTGCTTTAAGGAAATGAAACCGTTGGTCCTCGTTCAACCCTAAGTCAAAAAGATACATTTCAAAAGCATTTCCAGAAGACACTTCGATTAGGAGGTGCAAGCAACCTCAAGAAACTGGAAGTATGCTGCACAATGAAGTGCCAATCACCAGGCATGACTCCCATAAAATATATATATTTTTGTCAATGAAAAAAAAAAGCGATATGAAAGTAACGAGCTTGGAGGTTTTAAAAGAGAGACAATCGCTCCAGAAATGCTCGAGAAAGCATGAACAGAGTTTGAATTTCGTCCATATGTGCGCAAAGCTACAAAGGGTATCTGCATTCAAGTTTTCTCTGAGTAAGTTTGAACCGTAAACAAACTTACAGGGTTTAGCTGCTGTCTGCTGCAAACACGATGATTTTTCCCTATGGTTTTCAGGAAATGAATCTTTGACGTCCCTGAAATAATTAATGGACATCCTGCACTTTATGAATGGCGAGAATTCGCCCTTGTTTTTGGGAACATTACCAGTTCTCAATCAAAATGTTCAGTCTAAATGAATTTCAGACTCTTATTTCTCTCGAAAATGTGAAAATTCCTTTCTTCGCCGCATCGCTGGCGATACAGCAACTTAATAAAAGGTCATTATTGGAATAATGTGAAATTATATATGAGCTCCTCTCGACTACCTTGCGAATTCCATGGATGAGCAGAGACGCAACGACGAGCTCGACGAGAGAGAGAACCATCGCGCCCACGACCTGCCCCACTAGCGTGTCTGCAAGAGGATCAGGATCAGGATCAGGATCAGGACCTCCTGACTTGTGGGTTCCGCGGGATCGGACCCACCTTCCCCCGAGCACCCTTCTGGGACTTGCTCGCAGATCGGACGCAGGACTCCGACCGAGACTGACGAAGCGACCACGAAGCAACACGAAATAACCTGGCGGGCCAATTATATCGGATTCATTTTAATTACTGCAACGCTGCCTCCTCCCAACCCCATCCTAAAAGATGCAGAAAAATTCCCTCGTTACCAATTGCAGGACGCCAATGACGATGCTGCCCTCCCAGTTGTTGAAACACCCGAAGCAGTAGCCGCTCACCGTCGGTATCATCATTTTTCTTTCTGCAGCACGATCAGCGGAATGTTAGATTTGCGTGCAGAATCACGCACAGCCTTGCAAATCGCTTCGAGTTTCAGTCTGCACGATATCGAACGTGCGTTCGTTCACATGAACTAATGTTTATATCTAAAACGAACAAAAAATAATAATAATACTGTGTTCAATGCAAACAGCCATATCACGTGGGGCAGAGATGACCACCCAATGGATAAGACTTCGCGGGACAACAAGCGAATTAAGTCAGGGTTCTGTGGCGACTGGAGAGGAGCTCAGTGGGTCAGAGCACCTTCTCGGTTAGAGCTGGGGTGAAAGTGACTCCCTGGCTTCTCTTTTCTCCAGTCGCCAACTGCCTGTCCTTCTGTCTGTAACTGTGTTCAAGTCTTGGCCACCTGAAAATAATTATGTTTCTGTCGTGAACGGGAAGAGAGGATTAGTGGCGCCAAAAGTTGCACTCGCTTGCAACATAATAAAGCCAGTTGGCCAACAGGAACAGACATTCGCAACAACCCTGGCCACGTCGACAAACATTTTGAAGATTTGAATTTGGTCAAAAAATTTCCAGCAAGTCAAGGATGTTGCGCCAGAACACAGGAACCACAGCTCGGGTTGTCGATCACTGGTTCCACGTTTCTCAGAAAAGAATGAGCAGATCGTCCGCGGCACTGCGAAAGGAATGTGTTTTACAAGTTCCAAGCGATCTTGCATGCTGCAGGACGCTGATAGATGTCGCCAAAGAATCGGACAGAACCGAGGCTACTGTGGCAGCACGAACTTAGGCTGGAGTCAGACAGAAGCACACAAGACTCAAGACGCAACTGTGTGTCACACAAGATTCAAGATTCAAATTCAGAAGGGTAGTCAGACAGAGAATTCAAGTGTGTGCCACACACTGGTTCGAGTCGTTGCATGGCATGGCCATGTTCTTTTTCCCGGACTGCGGCCAAGTGCCTTTTGGTAGTTTGTGGAAATGTGCATTGTATTTGTCTGTCTGCAGACGCAATAACTGGAAAACAAATTTATTCAATTATTCTCCTTGACGAAGTTAAGGGGCCTTACTAATCGATTTCACCCGGGCAAAACTAGAGTTTCTAGCCATTACCCAAAACTCTGCGAAAACCATAGGAAAGAATAGTACAAAATTTTACATCAACCTTTGGTATTGGAACAGAGAGTAGCATACAAAATGTTATCCAAATCGGACATCGGTGGGCCGAGTTATGGCCGACGGAAAATTTCGCCAAATCTTGTGTGTGTCTCCAACGCGGTTTGGCTTTATTTATGAATCGATTTTCATAATTGTTTTTTTGTTTAATCCGTCTTCCGCTTTAATTGTGAACTCTCGAAATGACTTTTTCTGAGGGAGAAATTGCTAATTACCTATAGCTCATTAACCAACGAAAATTGGAAAAAATTAGAAATGGCCTGACCGATGGACGAGAATATCTCCAAAACCGTTTATGCTAGAGCAAATATGTGGAACACGCTAAAGCGCCGCATTGAGATCTACAATTTTGCTTCCATGGGTCATCACGCTAGAACGAACCGCTCATGAGTTACGAGGGTCAATGTAAATCGGCAAAACGTAATTAGGGCAAATATCTACAGAACGGCTGAAGATAGCGACAAGACAGTAGAGATCTAATCGATAGGCGGCGTCGAGATCTACAATGTTGCTTATCTGAGCCATCACGCTCCGACCAACCGGCGTGGCATCGACAAAACACCACCTTCATCAAGGTGACCGTGTGTGGAACACACACTGTTAATTTTATAATTACACTCGAATTTTATAATTACACTTTTACGAGCTTTATCGATAAAAAACAGGATCCGCCCTGGTTACGTCTTTGGCAACTCGATTTTGATATTCCTGCAGGCTATTCGACTGAACTGATACACTTTCTTTTCGTCATTTTCAGCGTTGCCAATTTTTATCCCACTTCAATGTGTGGGGAAAAATGTTGATTACTACGGGTATTGATTCGGAAATGATTAAAAATCATTAATCAATCCACAATCAATGACACTGATATAATGATTGAAAACCAGACCGAGCACGACGACACCATATGACACAGCACACAACTCCGAAGAAATGAACATGCACATTCACCTCAACTTGTGTGACACACACTTGAATCTTGCGTCTTGAATCCTGTGTGCTCTGTCTAACTACCCGCTAGGAAATACGCCGTGTTCATTCGAAATCGAG